CCGGAACCTGAGGCCCAGACGACTGGGCTGAGGGCCCGCGCGAGCCCGAAGGAGGCAAGCGCGTTGCCGGCAGGGGCTGGCCTCCTCGGGTCTTCCGCCAAAGGGACTGCTGGGCCCGCCGGAGGGAGGAGGAGGAAGAGGAGGAGGAGGATAAGGAGGAGGAAGAAGACGAGGAAGGATGAACATGAAGAGCGTTCGGTACTGGCCAGCCGCTCTGCGGTTGATCGGGAGTTTCGGTGTATAGAAGAAGGAGCGTGCGTTTGTAGGCGAGAGGTGAATGGGCGGGAAGCGTTTTGTTTGTTGTCTGTGCTTTGTTGACGTCTTTTTATGGGAGCCGCGCGCTACGGGCCCGTGCTTTTAGGCTCCCATTCAATTTCTTGCAATATGGCATGCGGTTTCTCTGGTCTCTCCATCGTCAGAGGAGTCGTCCCGCCCATCACGGGGCAAATGCAGCATCTTGGCATGCGGCTTTGAGGCGTGCGTGCGGACAGCACCCTACCCCCGCTCTCCCTGGGCAGACGAGGTGCTTCGTAGTGTTCCGTGCCCCTCAATGGGCAAACTTGCAGTTCTCATCGCCAGGCACATCTTTACTCTCCTGTTGGCGCCTTTTTAGGTGCCCATCACTAAAGTCAGCTTGCACGGTCGGGTGATGCTCTTCGTCAGAGGTTTGCTCTCCACTCTTTGTGTGGCGTTCGGCGTGTGACTGCTGCTGGCGTGTTTTGCGGCCAGTTGAGCCGGCGTCTTCACAATTACACGTTATGAATATTTTTCTCCTCTCCCTCCGAAGATGATGGAAACGCGGCCCGCCCCCCTCCGCGTGCTGTTTTTGTGCACGCAGGAGCTCAACAGTCTGTGTGTTTTTGCGTGTTGTTCCTGTCCGACTGTTTTCGGTGTTTCGAAATGGTGCTCCCGCTGCGGCATGGGCTTCATGTTCGGATCGGCACTTTGCTCCCGTCGTTCAGCATGGCGCTCTCGCCCCAGCGCGGGCCACTCTACTGGATCCGAGTCTGGCTTCATTTTGCCCCCCTCATTTTCCCTCCTCCGCCCTCCCCTGGTCCTTCTGTACTCTCCGTTGCTTCCCCATCCAGTTCCTGCTGCTGTTGTTCGTCTCGCCCCAGCGAGTGTCACTTTTCTGACTCCGAGTCTTCTTACATCGTTGTAGCCCTCCTCATTCCCCTTTCTCCGCCGTACCCTGGTCCTCTTTTTCTTCCCTACCCTTATGCCTGCGGCAAACCTTGCCAGCGTGCTTGTGCAACAGCATAGCAGGACGGAGGCAGAGTACGGAGGAGGAGGAGGTGGATGAGGAGGTGTGGGGGGGAGGTGGGGGGATGAGCTGGAAGAGAGGCAGAACATGAGGATGAGGAGGGGAAGGCTTCTTGGGGCCTTCTTGGGGCCTCCTGTGGGCCTGCTGGAAGCTTCTTGAAAGCTTCATGTGGGACTTCTTGGGGGCCTCGCGGGGCCGTTTGGGGCCCCTTGGGCAGCCTTAGGGGATTATTGGCTCATGTGACGCCTATGGAGGCCGCCTTAGGGGCCTCCCTAGGCCGTGTTAGTGCCCGCTTGGAGCGGTTGACGGTGGTCTTGGAGCCCTCTTGGGGGCCCCGTGGGCGATCTTTGGACCTTTTGGGGCCGAATTGAGGCCCCCGTTGTGAGTGTCTTGGGCCGTCCTGGGCGGTCGGACACCAGAACAGGCGGAAGCCTCAACATCTTCCAAACACCGAACGACAATCAATGGTTTTGGCTTCCTCGGGCTCTCCAGGAGGGCTTCTTGGAGCTCCCTTGGGCCGTCTTGGGGGTTTCTTGATCTGACTTGAGGCTGTCTTGGGGGCCTCTTAAGCCGTCGTGGGCCATCTTGGGCCATCTTGCTGTCATCTTGGCTGCCTTGAACGCCGTCCTGGAGGCCATGAGGCGCCCAAGAGGACCTCAAGACAGATCAAGAGGGCCCCAGGACGGCCCAAGAGGTCTCCAAGAGGCCTTTCAGGAGAGCCCGAGCATGCCCAAATCATTGATTTCCTGTGGTTTGAGCCCAAGACGCCTCCCTGGGCCGTCTTGCTGCTCTCTTGGAGCGCTTCAATGCCATCTCGGGGCCCTCTTGGGAGCCCCTTGAGCAATCTCTGGGCCCTCTGGGCTCGACTTGGGGTCCTCTTGGAGGCCTCTTGTGCTGTCCTAGAGCTACATTGGAGGCCTCATGGAGGCCTCTTGGGCCGTCTCGGGCGGTCGGGGACCCGAACAGACAAAAACCTCAAACTTCTTCAAACGCTTTCGGATGATCAATTGTGTTGGCCCCCTCGACCTCTCCAGGAAGGCCCTATGAAGCTCTCTTGGGCCGTCTTGGGGGCCTCTTGGGCCGTCTTGAGGCCCTCTTGGGGGCTTCTTGGGCCGTCGTGAGGCTGTCTTGACAGGCTCTTGAGCTATCTTGGGTCATCTTGAGCCGTTGTGTGGTCGTCTAAGTTGTCTTGGTAGCCGTCTTTGAAGACATCTTGGCCGTCCGGAGGCCGACCAGGCCGCCGGAAAGCACTTTCAGAGGGGGCGTTTTTCAGGCACGCGTGCGGCGAGTGGGGCCCCTTAAAAGTCTAAAGACCCTTCCAGACACCAGACGAGCATACTAACACGCCCACTCCGTGCAGGCACGGTGGCGGATCACTCCGCTTTAGTTCCTGCTTCTGCTGTTCCTCCTCGCCCTTCTCCTCCCGCTCCTCCTCCTCCTCCTCCTCCTCCTCCTCCTCTTCCTCCTCCTCCTCGTCCTTCTCCTCGTCCTTTTCCTCTTCCTCCTCCTGTGCACGCAGCTCCCCTTCCCCCGATTGCGCATATACCACGAAGTGATCTCCCTGCTGGGATCGCAGGTCGGCCATGACACGTGTCCGCGGATAGTGATAATCAGCGCCACGGGAAGGCATGGGAGGGAGGGATGCGGGCAAAATCTGTGTCCATATCCACTGCAGCTTGGCGTTTCGGGCTCCCTTCCCCAGAAGGCCGAGGTGCACTGGATATGGATGACAGTCTGGCCCCTAATAGAGGCTCGAATGTGTCCACATCCAGTGTGCCTCGGCCTTGCGGCGCCCCTTCCACGAAAGTCCAAGACGCCATGGATATGGATACAGATATTGCCCGCAAGGGAAAGGATGTGAGATAAGGCGCGAGCGCAGCTAGCTTTTCTATTCACCCCTCTCCCGTCTTCCTCCTCTCCTTCCTTTTTGCCTTCTCTCACGCCGTAGGACGGATGAGAGTTTGGGCGTTTATTATGTTGCTGTGTCCGCCCCTGGCCGCTGCACTTTGTCGTTCGCAAGAGGTGCCGGGCGGGAGGGTCAACAGTCATGTATCCCTCAGCAGTGAGAGTTCAACAACAACAACAACAACAACAACAACAACAACAACAGCAACAACAACAACAACACACAACAACAACCATACCAACACCAACAACAGCAACAACAACATCAGCAACAACAGCAGCAGCAACAACAACAACCACAAAGACAAGCCGCACGACACAACCCCGCTACAGCCACGCACCTAGGAACAGCGTAAGGCTGTTGGACCCCCTCACTCCTGATATTTGGCACGGGAGTATTTGAAGCTGTCGGTGGCGAGCGAGGGGGGGGAATGAGAAGGAGAAGGCCTTTTCAAAAGGCGGCGGGACTTCTCAGACGCCCTCGCGCCTTCTGAGAAGTTTTTGTTTTGTCGTCGGGGAAGGCTTAGAAAACCTTTCAGAAGACCGAGGGACTTCCGAAACTTCTGAGAAGGCCTTGTCCTTCTCACTTCCCCCCCTCGCTCGCCGCCGAGTTTGATAATTTCTGGGCATGCGAAAAAGGATGGCGAGGCAACTTGGAAAGCAGTCGGATTCAGCTTCCTTGCCACCCGTGGCAACACGAACGGTCAACGGTTTCTGGTTTTCGTTTCGTCCAGGATGGTTGGTGGGCGGAACGCAACTATGCTTCAAATCTTGGCGCTTTCCAAACCAGTTTCACGCTCCCCTGCAGCCCAACACGGCGACATGCTGAAGGGGACTCTTGTGGGAATTCCGCATTGCATCATCGTTCGTGCATCCTGGCTTTACTCAGGCCCTCCTCCTCCTCCTCGTTTCCCCAGCACTCCTTCTAGTCGGCCTCGACCTCGGATTCGGCGCTGCGTTGACCGAGCTTCTCGAGCGCGCAGCCTTTCCGCCCCCGCTGTAAGCCCCAGTCTTGGTGTGGCACTGCGTGCCAGTCGCCAGACTCTCACCCCGACTGGCCCAGCACAGAAGGGCCCTGTTATGAGGATGTCAGTTTTCGTGCGAGGGTCTGATTGTATTAATGTCGCCAGATCGGCACAATGAGACCCTGAACGCAGTTGGGGGGATCGGAACTTGTTCCTCCTTTTTCGCCATTACCCCCTCATCCTTCGGCGCGTCCCTCCCGTGTTCAGCGGGAACACTAAGAATGCCCTCTCTCTTTCGAAAGAAGGGGATCCGAATCTCATCCTCCCCCTCCCTCTTGGAGATTCTAGGCCTCCTCATCATCATCACCACCATCTTCATCACCACCAACATCATCACCATCATCACCGTCACCATCATCATCATCATCATCATCATCATCATCATCATCGTCATCGTCATCATCATCATCATCATCATCATCATCATCATCATCATCACCATCACCATCACCATCACCATCATCATCAGCAGCATCATCACCATCATCATCATCACCATCATCATCATCATTAACTATCATATTCATCTTCATCATCACCATTGCCACCATCACCATCACCACCGACATCATCATCACCACCACCATCACCATCATCATCATCATCATCATCACCATCATCATCACCACCATCATCATCACCATCATCATCATCATCATCATCATCATCATCATCATCATCATCATCATCATCCTCTCCCTCGTCCCATTTGTCCGCCACATTCTCCATGCAATTCTCTTTTCTTGCCTTTCTCCTCCCCTTTCGCCTCCTCCTGCTCCTCACCGTCGTCGTCTCTGCTTCTGGAGGCGGCGGCCATGCAGCGGCGAGCGACGTATCTGCTCTGGCAGATCCCGACGGACTGCGATGGCCAGGGCCTGTCGGACCGCCGCGCATGTCTAGCAGTTATCCTGGCGGAGGCGTTTTTGCTCGAGCGGGTGGCGGTGCTGCCGCTGTTCCGCCTCGACGCGGACAGGCACAACGCCGGCGTGCTGCTGCCAGGCTCGGACCTGAGCGAGTACGTCTCGCTGGAGAGGATCCCCGTCGCCACGGTGGCCCTCGCCGACTTCGCGTGGGAGCCCGGCGAGGCCGCGGTGGTGGCAGGGCCCGTCCGCCCGCGCGAGTGGCGGGGCTGCCGGGCCCGAGTCCTGGTGCGGCCCTGCACCCCGGGGTTCTGGAGGAACGAGGTGCACGCCTCCGTCTGATGGGCCTGCTCTCCACCACCACCACCATGAGTTCGAGGGGGAGGGGGGCCCTCCTCCTCCTCCTCCTCCTCCTCCTCTCCTCCTCCTCCTCCTCCTCTCCCTCCTCTCCTCCTCCTCCTCCTCCTCCTCCTCCTCCTCCTCCTCCTCCTCCTCCTCCTCCTCCTCTCCCTCCTCCTACTCCTTCTCCCTTCTCCTCCTCCTCCTCCTCCTCCTCCTCCTCCTCCTCTTCGTACTCCTCCTCGTCGTCCACCTCCTCCCACCCTCCAACCTATGGTGGTGGTGGTGGCAAACAGGTCCATTGTCCGTCCACCAGCTGGCCGGCGAGCTGCACGGCACCGGCATGAGGCCCACGGCGGGCCTCTTCGCGGCGCCCGCGCGCGTGGCCGCCGCGGCCGCGCGCGCGGCGGCGCGCATCGGTGCGCCGTACGTCGGCGTCCACGTGCGGCGAGGGGACAAGTTGAGCCTGATGCCCTGGCTGGAGGCTGCCACGCGTGGCGAGGCCGTGGCCCGCGCGGTCGCTTCCCTGGCCCCCCCTGGAGTCGGGCACGTGTACGTGGCGTCCAACGACGCGGAGGTGGACTACGCGGGCGCGCTGCGGGCAGAGGGCTTCCGCTGCAGTCGGCCGCAAGACGTGTTTGCCGAGGAGGTGGGAAGGAACAACCACCTGCTTTTTGCAATGGAGATGAAGCTGGTTGATGATGCGGTGGTTTGCATCAGAACCTTCAATGACTCCACCCCGTGGTATTTCTCCGCCGTCCGCAAGCCATCCTACCATCTTGTGGATCGTGGAATGCACGACTACCTTGCGGGCTCCACCTGCATGGGCACGAATCGCTGTGACATCAAGTCAGCGATCGCGATGGACACCCTGACCGCGCAGGAGGCGTCTTCCACGCTCGAGCAGGCCGCTGCCGCAGGCCTCAGCTCCGGCTTCCTGCCCGTGGAGGGGCTGCCGCGGATGCCCTGCCCCGAGAGCCAGGCCAGCCGCGTGGCCTACAGCGTCGCGGTGTTCAGCCAGGTGAGCACGGTTGCGGACGCGACGCTGTGGGCCATGTCTGGCGACGGGCAGGGGGTCTACAGCGCGAGCCTGCCGGTGGCTCTCGCCGGCCACCGCTTCGTGGTCGCGGTCGACGGCGACCGACGCCGCTGCCTCTTCCCCGACGCGGTCGGCACGTGGCCTCTGCTGCAGGAGGCGGTGATTGGGCCGGGGGCGCCGCGGAGCCCAGAATGTGCCTGGCCCTTCCCAGAGGCCCCGGGCATCTTCGCCGTTCGGCTGGAGACCTGCGGCCGGCGTCTCGTCTCCGTCGCGAAGGAGCCAGCTAGCGGGACGCTCCCCCGTGCGGCGTCGTCGGGAACGAGGGCCTCTTCCCTCTTCATCATCTTCACTTCCCCTCGCCCTCTTCCTCCTTTCCTGCTTCTGCTCCCTACTTCTGGAGGGGGAGCGTACTGGAGGCGGCCTGGCGGAAGAGGGGCAGGGCTCGCGATGTCCCCGGGAGGCTACACGTGCGCTGCCATAAAGCTGGCGGGCCTTCTGTCCAAAACGCCCCCACGTGTGAAGGGCACGGCGGCGCTACGTGCGGAGGGCGCGGTGGTGGACAGCTCTCGACGGTCCCGGTTTGCGATGACTCGAATCTGGTAAGGGTTATGTCGGGCGTGTCCCCCTACGACGAAAAATAAAAAATACCCCCAAAACACCCAAAAAGGTCAAACAATACTCAAACCATAATCCCCAGACTATTCTATTTTTGGGTCCTTTTTTATTTTCCGTCGAAAACCCCCCCTGTAGGGGGACAGGCCCGACTTAAGGTAAGCGCCGGGTCAGGGCGTGATCGGGCCCTCCTCCCTCTGCCTCCCCCTCTCTTCCCCCCTCGTCTCCGTCCCCACCTCCTGTGCTGGCCCCGGGCGTGCCCTTCCCCCCTCCTCCTCGGTCGCGGTCCGAGGGCGGATGTTTCTCGGGTCGGGCGAAAGGGGGGGATTGGGAAAGGGGGGGGTACGAAATTTGCTGCATGCAGCTGGTTTCGGCCTCACCGAGGGGCCGATTCCTCGATACATAGCCGCCTCTGGCGCCGGGAGGCGCCGGGAAAATCAGCTACGCGAGCTGATTCTCAAACCCCCCCTTTGCTATCCCCCCCTTTCGCCCGACCCGAGTTTTGGGCGGCGGAACGCAGCGCGGGAAGAGAAAGAGAGCAGCGCCATCGCCCAGCGGGCAGGGCACTTCCCGGCCGAGTGCCAAAATTGTACGCCCGCTTTGCACACCCTCGCGAAGGCGCCTTTTCCCGTGCCGGGCAAGGGACCCGTCGGCGAGGTCCCGACATCCCCGGCGGCGGGCCCTGTCTCGCGGAACCCGTAGGAGGAGGCGGCGAGCGGAGGTTGGAAGGGGTAGGGATGTGGGGGGGGGGGTAGGAAGAAGAGGAGGAGAGCGAGGTCGAGGACAAGGAGGCAAGATGCCTTGTTCCTCGCCAAGGCAACCGAGCAAGGCTGCAGAAACGCGCTCGGGCCCAGAATCGGATGTCGGGCGGCGTTTTCCACTCTACTCGCAAACAGTGCCTACTCGCAAACAAGTCAGACAACAAAAAGCATGTCTGCATCGTTGTAATGTATCGGAAGTGTCCCATGGCGGATCCTGGCCATTTGCGAGTAGTTCTTTCGCGAGCAGTGGAGCGCGCTTGTCTATCCGTGTTGCCTGGGGGCAGATGTGCGGGCGGGCCCCACGAGTCCAGTGCGGTTGATGCGCACAGATGGGAGCATGGTGTACCCTTCTAATTCTGTCTTTAGCGTCGACTGCCGTCGGTTAGCGTCTGGGAGTCGATGAGATAGCTCCGATTGAGCGTCGGTTAGCGTCGACTGGCGTCGATTTGCGTCGGCCAGCGTCGAATAGCGTCGAGCAGCGTCGATTCGCAAGAGTCGACAAGATGGTACCTGAGGCCCCCATGAGTTGCCACCGAAGATTTCGAAACAACGTTCCCACACCTACGTCGATGGGCTGATGATGTTCTGCGACCGCGCGTTCGCTTTTGTTTCTGCGCGGCTTCTGCCGCAGGCTGGCTCGAAGCTCGAACCTGCCTCAGCTCCGAACGCAATTCGCGCCACCCTGGTCCTTTCTCTCGCCGCCATGCAGCTAGCCTGGACGCTGGTGGACTGCGCCGGGGGCCAGAGGTGGCAGTTGCCAGATGGAGGTTCCGTTCTGATAGGGAGGATCGGGGGTGGACAGAACCCCCACCCTGACACGTCGATTCCTGAACTGTCCGTTTTCGGTGCTCGAGAGGGCGCCGCGGCCGTCCTTTTCCAGGCCTGCGCCCGCCGGGTTTGGGGCCCGAGGTCGTTTTTTACTCAGCCACGTTTTGCCAATGGGGGGTCCTGCCCATCCCCGAGAGGAACGCGGAGTGCGACGTCGTGGTCGCACACGCATCGGTCAGCGCGCGGCACTGCGCTCTGACGTCCACGGGCGGCGGGCCGGTGCAGCTCCGGGACCTCGGCAGCACCAACGGCACCTTCCTGGGCGGCGCGAGGGTGGCGGGCGAGGAGGGGAGACCCGTGCCTGCCGACGTCAGTCCGGGGCTCTTGCTTTCGTCCTCGTCCCTCGGTTCCACGCTCTCTGTCCTTCTCCTCTCCTCGTCCTCAACATCTCTGCGTCTTCTTGTCGCTCGACGCCGCCCCCCCTCCCCTCCTTCACTCCATCTTCCTGTGCCTGCTGCTGCCGTTGATCCTCCTCCTTCTGCTGCCGCAGTCCGCAGCGGGTTCTTACTCCTGCTCCAGCTCCTGATCCTTGTCCTAGTCCCTCTTCCCTTATGTCTCTCTTTTACCCGCTCTGAGCTGCAACCCGAAGCTGGTTTGTCGATCGAAGACGGGCGAGCAACAACATCAAACAGCAGAACGCCTGGCGGGAGAGGGAGAGGGTCCCAGGAGCGTGCCAATGCCTCCCGATCCCCCCCCCAGCCTTCCTTCTCCGTGGCGGCAGAGCCCTGTCCGCCACTCTGCCAGCGCAGATCGATCCATTCGATCCCTTCCCCGTGCCCGGCAGAGGCGTGTTCGCTCGATCCATTAGCAGGTTCGAAGTGTAGGAAAGTGTGGTTCGTGGTTTCCGGCAATTTGGTTCCCAGCATCACCGTTGAGCAACAGACGTTAGCCTGGCCTTGGTCGATCATCACGCCTTCTTCCCTCGAGCGTGGACAAATCCTCCGCCCTCTCCTCATGCTTCTCTCCGCCTGCTGCTCTCTTGTCCTTCTCCTCTTCTGCATTCCCACCTGGCCTTAAGTCGGGCATGTCCCTCCCACAGGAGCCCTCGGCCGCAAGCGATGGCAGCATCATCGTGCTGGGGTCTAGTGATGGGCCCGCGTTCATCCTCCATCGGTCCGGGCCTCAATTTGTGCCAGGCAGGAGCAGCAGTAGCACCAGAAGGAGTTTGATGAGCGTAAGACATGGCAAGAGGAGGGGGCAAAGGAACGAGGAGGAGGAGGCATGAGTAATGAGGAACAGGTAGGTGGAGGGTGTAGGAAGGAGGACGGCGGAGAAGGAGGAGCAGAAGCAGGACTGGTGGAAGTTGCAGGAGCATTTGTTTGAAAGAGCGTGGATTAAGATTCTTGTGCGTTGGCCCGTGCATCGCTTCCTATGTCCTCCTTCCGATTCCTTTCTCATCTGATCGTGTGGGACTTCAATGTGCGGGTGTGCGGGTGCCGCTGTCGGCCCACGCACGTACGGGTTGTCATCTTGCTCTCGCCGCTGTGCTCGTGACAGCCGCTTTTTGCTACCACGATGCCCACGCTCCCTCCCCATCCCCGTCCACTTTCATCATCGTTCAGAACGTGTCTCACACATTCAGTGGCCAGGCGAGTTGTTTCGTAGTGCCAGCTGACGTGTGAGCTGTAAAAGCTTTGGCGAAGGATGCTGTGTTTGGGTCGAGCAAAAACATGAGCCCGGCGCGACCCAAATTGGGGGAGCGTTTTCTATTGCATGGCGTATCGTTGGTTGACATTTTGCATGTCATTGCTCATTTTGCTTGCCAGTGCTTGGCTTTGCTTGGCATTGCTTTGCATTGCGCGGCCTTGATTGGCATTGCATGGTATAGCATTGCTGGGCATGGCTTGGCATCGTGTTGCGCTGCTTGGCAGTTCTTGGCATTGCGTGGCGTTGTTTGGCGCTGCCTGGCATTTTGTTGTAGTGCTTGGCGTTGCTTGGCGTTTCTTGGCGTTGCTTGGCATTGCTTGGCACCGTGGGTCAGGTGGCATTTCTTGGCATCACTACTCACTGCGTGGCATTGTTGTGCATTGTTCGGCATTGCATGGGATTGCTTGGCTTGGCACTGTTTGGCTTTGCGTGGCGGGGCAGCAAGAGGCCAAGATCAAGGAACGAAGACCAGACGCCGAGGATCCAAGATCAAGGAACCAAGGAACCAAGACACCGAACCAAGGAACCACGCCCACGGAACCAAGGAACCAAGGAGCCCAGGAGCCAAGGAACCAAGACCAGTGAATTAAGGAACCAAGGAACCAAGACCAAGGGCCAAGGAACCACGACCAGGGAACCCCGAAAAAGGCCACTGCAAGGAAGCAAGAGCCAAGGAACCACCGCACCAACACCAAGGATAGGACCGAAGGGAGCAAGACCAAGGAAGCCGAGGAAGGCCACTCGAAGGAAACAAGCTTTGAAGGAACCCCGAGGCAGGCCACCGTACGGGAACAAGACCAAGGGCACCCGAGGAAGGCCAGCCGGGCCCGGTCTTCCAAGTACCGATGTTACCCAAATGCAATCTGCAAGAAAGCCCTGGGCAAAGCCTCATGGGAGAATGCTGCTCCCAGGCTGGCCTGCTTAGGTCTCCCGAGCCTGCGCGAGACACCTCCTGGCGGCTCCGCAGGCCCACCCCCAGGGCTCTGCATCGACCGGTCTCTGAGATGGCAGGCTCTGAGATTGAAGCAGTGGCGAAGCGTCCTGGCGTACCTATAGGCCTCCAAGCAATGTTCTAAGAACCATGTGTGGTTTCAGCGAAGTGTTCTTAGAACATCTCTGGCTGGGACTGTCGTGTTTTAGCACGTAGGGCTTATGTTCTAAGAGCCTTGATTTGGTTCAAAGAACATCTTCGGGTTCTAAGAACATGTCGTGGTAGGTCTATAGGAATGCTGGGACGGTCGGTCCCTGCTCAAGAGATGGCTTGAGAAGGTCTGAGATGGCTTGAGATGGTCTCCGTTCGGCAGCTGGATCGTGCGCTTGGGGCGCTGCGCTTGTCGGTTCGATGACTTGGGCGCCGAGGTCGGGAGGCAGCGGCGCGGCAGCGCCACAGAGAACGTGCTGCATGGACCAGTCGGAGGTGTCGCCGGGAGGCCTGGGGGCAAGTTGCAGACGGTCCCACGCAACCTCCCACAGCTCCACCTGACTCCTCCCCTCCGACGACGATCTCCCTGACTGAACAGTCCGCATTTCCTGATAAGGAGGCTCGCTTATTTTGTTGGGGAGGTGCTTCGCCGAGAGGGGGCCGGGTCCAACCTTGATGTCTTCAGGTGCGAGGTGCGTTACAGTCGGACCGAGGTATGAGATCGAGGTCGATTCGATGAGGGTACCCTAGTGTTCTTCGTGTGTTGTTGGGTGTTCTTGCGTATCCTGGGGAGGGTGCCCTTGGATGTTCTGTGTGTTGGCCAACGGAGGGTCTCATGTTCTTGAATGATGCTCCGCTGGCCTAGGTCCGACTGTTCGTCGGCGGCGAGCCCGGGGGGGAAATGTGAAGGAGAAGGCCTTCTCAGAAGGCTCGGAAGTCCCCTGGCCCTCTAGGAAGTGTTCCAAGCCTGCCCCGAAGAGACGTAAAACCTCTCCGAAGGCGCGGGGGCTTCTGAGAAGCCCCGCCGCCTTCTCAGAAGGCACCGCCGCCCTCTGAGACGCCCCGCCGCCTTCTGAGCCGGCCTTCTCGCTTCCCTTCCTCGCTGGCCGCCGATCCTGGCCTAGGTCCGGCTGTACCCGTAGGCGGCCGAATGGTACCGTGCATCGCATCCGAATGCTATTGCTCATGCCCTCCATTCTCCCAACCCCTTCTCCCAACCCGATCATTGTTCTCCTCGTTGAAGGGTGCTATTCTGGCCCAGGTCCGACTCTACGTACCTGCGGGCCTTCCTCGTGAAACGGCGCGGAGCCGGGCCTGACACCCGTTTTGATGGTTTTGCACAGCGTCGACCCCCAGAGGTCGGGCCCGGGACCGGTTTCTCATCCCGAGCCGTTTTTTGACGGGCCCGAGGCCCTGCAAGGGCCCCCAGAGGCAGAAAATAGCGAACAACTTCCCTCAAGGCCTCCTAGATGGGGTCGGAGTAGATGGGGTCGGAGGATCGCGCCGCATCGCCGATGCATCGCCGATGCGGCTCGATGTGGAGACCGATTTGCTTCACGTCGACGTCGCCGATGCATCGCCGACGTCGACGATGCATCGCCAGTGCATCACCGATGCATCGCCGATGCATCGCCGATGTCTTGGCGATGCGTTGCGATCCTCCGACCCCACTTACTCGGAGCCCATCTAGGACTCCTAGACTAGGAGGCCTCCTAGACTAGGAGGCCTCCTAGACTAGGGAGGCCTCCTAGACTAGGGAGGTTTCCTAGACTAGGAGGCCTCCTAGTCTAGGGAGGCCTCCTAGACTAGGGAGGTTCCCTAGACCAGGAGGCCTCCTAGACTAGGGAGGCCTCCGTTCCCGCCGTGCTTTTTCTCACAGCGCGAGGAGGTCCCACGCAGCGGCTGCCCTCCCTTAAGGCGCCGGAGCGGCCGCCTCGCCGGCGGCCGCCTCGCCGGCGGCGCGGGCGGCCTCGCCCCCACCGTTCGCGGACCTGGGGCGCGAGGTCTATGTCGGCGGCGAGCGGGAGGAGGAGGGGGAGGAGGGGGGGGGAGGAGGGGGAGGGGGGGGAGGGGGAGGAGGGGGAGGGGGAGGAGGAGGAGGAGGAGGAGGGGGAGAGGAGGAGGAGGAGGGAGGAGGAGGAGGAGGAGGAGGAGGAGGAGGAGGAGGAGGAGGAGGAGGCCTGCTCAGAAGGCGGCGGGACTGCTCAGAAGCTCTCCCCAGCCTTCCGAGAGGTGTTGTTCCGTGTCTTCGGAGGAGGCTCAGAACTCTTTTCAGAAGGCTGAGGAACTTCCGCGCGAGCCTTCTGAGATCAGGTGATCGCAAACATGGATCAATGGGGCGTGGATCAGCGACGGGTCGCGTTTCCACGGGAAATCGCGGATCTCCGCCGCCGAGCGAGGCGGCACCGGCCGCATTTTGGGGAGGGCACCTCCCCCGATCCATGGATTTGGCGACCGCGCGCCACATCCATGGATCGCTAATCCATGTTTGCGCGCCCCCGAGAGAAGGCCCGCCCCTCCTCATTTCCCTCCCTCGCCGACTGTATCCTGGGGGCCATCTGTTGGCCGTCGTCTGGCCACCTCGGGGCGCTTCGGGCAGTGTTGGAGGTCTCTTTGGGCCCCCTCGGGGCCGTCCTGGTGGCTGCTTGGGCCATCTTGGAGGCCCCCTGGTCCGTTTGGGGGGCGCTCTTGAAGGCCCCTCGGGCCGTCTTGGGGTCCTCTTGGAGGCCTCTGCTGCCGTCTGGGAAGGCCCACTCCTCCTCGCTGCCCGGGGGTGGACAGAACGCCCACCCTGACGCGTCGCGATTCGGGAATTGTCCGTGTTCGGTTCTCGAGAGGGCGCCGCGGCCGTCATCTTCCAGGCCTGCGCCCGCCAGGTTTGGGCCCGATGTCGTCTTCACTCAACCACGTGTTGCTGAATGGGGGTCTCTGCCCATCCCCGAGCCTTCCCTCCCTCGCCCGCCGCCGATCTGTGGCATGTTCGGCCTCGACCCCGCGGCGACCGCCCCGCCCGTCGAGGAGCGCAGGCCCAGAGCGCCCGCCCTCCAGGGTCTTGCGGGGGTCGGGGGCCTCGAGGCGGGGGCCCACGCGGAGCGGGGCCGAGGGTCAGAGAGCGCCTGCCTCTGCAGGGCCACCAGACATGGACGCCCCAAAGGGGTCGAGCGCCTCGCCGGTGAAGCCGGCGAAGGTGTGCAGCATCCAACCCTTCGCTTATGCCCAGGGTTTTGGCTTGACGCCAGGTGTGGTGCATCAATTTCAGCTTGACCGAACAGGTTGGTTGCGCCCCTTGACGTCCGTGTCAGGTGCTCTGCAGACCTGACCCGGGTCAGCCTCAAGTCGGGCAGGTCCTTCTACATGAGGAATATTCAAAAATAGTGAAAACATAGTCTGGGGGCGATGTTTTTGATTTTCCTTTTTGATGTGTTTGGATATTTGTTTGGCAATATTTTGTTGTTCGTCCAAACTCCGCCTGGACATGCCCGACACAAGGTCAGCCAGAACGCGCCTATCTTGCAGGATCCTGCAGAGCCACGGTTGCATTTGCCCGGGCCGGCGCGCAGGATCCTGCAGGATCCTGCGGGAGTTTGCTGGATTTTGCAAAGCCCGCTTGGCCCGGGTTCTGTCTGGACCCTGGTTCGTAGAAGCCCGAGGGGGGGTGGGGGAGGGAGAGGAGGAGGAGGAGGAGGCGGAGGAGGAGGAGGAGCAGGAGGAGGAGGAGGAGGAGGAGGAGGAGGAAGAAGAGGAGGCGGTGCCAGGCTAAGCAAGAGCGTCACAACAAATCCGAGACTAATCTTTGCCAGGCTTGTAAGGATAAACCAGGAACCCTCTGGCATAGACGTTTCATTTGTCCACATTGGGCCGCCGACCGCGAGAAGAAGTGTAGCCCACGACTGCTCTGCTGTAAGGCGGTGCGTCAGCTAACGGGGCAGGATCTCGAAAACGCAGTTTGTGGTATTTTCCCCTATGCCGATAGAGGTTGTGCATCGGCCCTTGTGGAACAATGGCTGCAATATTATCTGGATTAAGCAGCCCGAAGTAGGATACCTCATTGGACACGTTTTTTTTCTCTGACGGCTCTGGCATCCACCCATCCTGCAAGGCTTTTCGCCAGATGGCGAGACAAGGCGAGTCCCCGCAATAGAGGAGGCAGGGTCAGTATGGGCCGCCTGCAGCAGCGCAAGCTTGGCCGAGGCGTGACAAGTGGCGTCAGCACCAACAGCAACAGTATCCTCAGACTTGTAATGAGGGTGCAAGTCTTGCCGAATGCGCTTGAGAGCGCCCTTGCCGCCCGGTCTTGGACTTCCCTGGCAAATTCCACCCAATCTGAAAAAAACAGCATGCACGTGTAAGCGCCACATCTGAAACAGAACACAGTGGGCGCGCACTCTGCACTCTGCCAGAATGTGGTGCACCAGGAGGTGGCCACGTTCGTTCCCAGCACCCTGCAAGCGTCGGTGTTCCCCAGGCGCAATCTTGAAGCATCTGCTACATCAGGCAGTGCTCTCTGCATCCGCGGCTGCCCCAGGGTCCAGGATGACAGGGCTGGGGACCACAGCTATCAATTCCAGGCGAGAGCCCACCGAGGGGAGGGTTTGGAAGGATGCAGAGCTTCCTATTCTGACTGCGCATTACACGATTGTGTTTCATTTGGAGATCCAGGTCCGCCAGAACACCAATCGGCAGATGGCGAAACATCAACGCGAGGGGACAGGAAGGGTGAGAGGGGCAGGACGTCAGATGCACGCGCCTAGCTTGCCTCTCTCCTCCCTCCTCGGATCGGATCGGATTGGCGCTGGACCCCCCTTCCTGGCGCGCGGAGCGCGCCAGGGGCGGCGCCGGAGGCGCCGCCAGGGTGGTCCAGCGCGGATCCGAGAGATCCGCGCGGACCTCCGATTTTTTTATGTGTATGTCACTCTTCGTTCCCCTGCACTTTCTCCCTCTCTCTCCCTCTCTCTCTCTTTCTGTCCGAGGCTTAGCTGCTCTGATACGCACGTTTTGAAGCGCAACACGTGCCGTGCTCAAAACGTCCGTGTTCAAAACGTACGTGTTCAGCCTACGTGTTGAGCTCCGTATCAATACACTAGGTGTTGCGTGTTGCGTGTCGGGGCAGCTAAGGTCGAGGGCAGCTCCCTTCCTCCCTCTGTCCCTCCCCCCTTCGGCCCCAATGGACAGGGCCGCGGCGAGGGGGGCACGCCACTTCCCCACGCCGGAGTGGAAGCGGGCGCGGGCTGCGGCGGCCGCCGCCGACGCTGGGAACGCGCCTGCGCAGGGGGACCCCGGAGAGGCCACGGCGGTCGCGGGAGCGGCAGCACTTGGCGCTGGGCGGTGGTGCCTCGTCAACGAGAGTACGGAGGACGCCAAGGAGGAGGAGGAGGAGGAGAGGGAGGAGGAGGAGGAGGAGGAGGAGGAGGACGCCGAGGAGGGGGACGCCGAGGAGGAGGACGCCGAGGAGGAGGAGGAGGAGGAGGAGGAGGACGCCGAGGAGGAGGAGGAGGAGGAGGAGGAGGACGAGGAGGAGAGTCGAAGAAGAAACAGCGGCATAAACGTAAGCGTGTGGCGCTCCGCGCGGATTTCTCGGATCGGCGCCTGGGCCCTCTCGGCGGCGCCTCCGGCGCCGCCTCTGTCGGGCTCCGCGCGCCAGGGAGGGGGGTCCAGCGCGGATCCAAGACATCTGCGCGGAGCGCCAGAAGTGTTTTTTTGTTTGTCATCTCCCAGAGAAGGAGAAGCGGAACCAGTACGCACCAGTCAGGATCCCGCAAAGGGAGGTGTGCCCCAGGGGGTGTCTGAGGCCGATCGGTTTTTGCACCGAACCGCCCAAAGCAGATGCCCCCCAGCCCCAGGCAGCTCCCGATAGTTGCGGACAGGTGGGGCGTGCGGGGGGCACCTGCTGGCGGCAGTTCGGTGCACCAGCGGATCGAACTCGTGCCCCCCTCTCATGGTCCCTCCCCCTTTGGTGGGTCCCGAACTCAGGGATGCTGCGGTGCACCCTCCCGTCCCGAGCCCCCTCCGCGTGGGTGGATCGAGAAGTGCTCGTGCACTGCGTCGGGAGCGCTCGCGGCAGAGGTCTGGGCCGCGTGGGCCTGCCGCGGGACTCCGACCTAGAGGGGGCTGGGATTGTGATACTCTTAAGTCGGGCGTGTCCCTCTACAGGAGGAATGTTCCAACATAGTCAAACAATAGTCTGGGCACGATTCTTGGACTCTTTTTCCCTACTTGTGAGTACGTTTGACTATTTTTTCAGTAGTCTCCCAAAATCCGCCTGCAGGGGGACATGCCGACCTAAGGATTCTCCTATTTTCCGATGGTCGCCAGAGAAGTGGGGATGTGGGGCGTCTGGGGCACAGACTGTGGCAGGCCTGAGGTGATGAGATCCTGGGCAGCCCAAAAGGGGTTCCCAGGTAAAGGGTGGTGGTAGCACAGAGTTAGTTGGCACCAGAATATATGGCGTGCCCGTGCGAAAGCGATTGCTTCCTTGCTCCGTTCGTTGCAGCGCGAGCCTGCAAACGGCTTCGTGACATGCAACAAACAGGCGGACGGAAGACAGGCGTTTCGGACTTGTTCGAAGACCTCAGCGGTCCACCTGTGACAGTAGTCGCATCAAGGGCTTGCGCGCTTGGCATGGAGTGCGCTGCCTGAAACAGAACGGACAGCGCATTGCGAATGTATCGCAGACGGCAAACGTATTGCAAATGCATTGCGCCCGAGAGATGTATTGCATTGCAATGTGGCCGTAGCATTTCAGGCAACAGTCAAGCAATACGGTTCCACCCCGGAACATCTTGCACGCCCGCTCCATCCTCCAATTGTATTGCAATGTATTGCAGCTGGCAGGTTGCATTGCACTGCTGCGATGGCCGACTGCGGCGTGACCGTTCAGATCTAGAGAGCCTGCGAGCAGGGAACGTGAGGTGCCCAGGAGCGTTTTCCGATTCCGATGGCAGGGTCGGAGTGCCACTCGCAACGAATTGGCGGGCCGAAGACGGGTCAAGAGTTTTTGTTTGTGTTGTTATTGTTTTTTCCTGATTTTTTGGGGGTCCCTTCTTTTCGGACTAAGGACGGCAAACGACGGCTTTGGGGGCCTCCGAAATAGCCCCGAGACGTCGCAAGCGGCCCCTAAGAGGGCTTTCAAACGGCCGTCTTGGGGCGATCTTAAGGGCCTTACCTTGTGATGGATTATCATGATGATCCCAGGGCCCAGGGTATGCAAACCGCCCACCGCCTTCCATCTGTGAAGTTGCTAGGGCGTTGAGCTTGAGGACCGTCATAATGAGAGACCTTCAGGCGAAATTCCTTTTCAACAGCAACCCGCCCTCTATCCTTGCTTGCAGTTATGACAAACAACTTCAAAGCCAAACTTCAATATCATCTATGCTGTGGGGAAAGCGGCCCGCGATGCTGAACACTGCCCGCACTCCATCCGTCTGTTTGATGAACATACAAACATTGTGACTACTGATCGGACCGTCCAGGTCGCCTTTCCGACACGTCTGATGGTACGACGAGGAGGGGTATGTGTAATGAAGGAAGAGGGATCGAGGAGGAGAAGGAGGAGGAGGAGGGGAAGGAGGAGGATGAGGATGATGATGATGATGATGATGAGGAGGAGGAGGAGGAGGAGGAGGAGGAGGAGGAGGAGGAGGAGAGCGCGGAGGACGTCGTCGAGATCGTGCCAGGGACCCCCCTGACGCTGGGCTCCGGCGGTGGTTGCGACGTGGTGGTGGAAGGGCGGGGCGTCCGCGAGGAGCATTGCATGATCAGGGACGCGGTTCCGAGGCGGCTGCGCAGGAGTCAAGGGTATCCGCCGTACATTTCGTTTTGGGAGCGGTGCCATTCACCCCAAAAATGTACAATAGGGGACAGGGGACGTGAACGTCTTGCACAGCTCATGCCGCGCCCTGCCCTGTGCCTGTGGTCGCACATTGGGCCCCGTTTGCTAAACTCGGGAGTGCATTGCGCCACCATCTTAATTGCCAGGAAGGAGTGAGGGCAACCAGAAAGGAGAGGGGGAGGTCGAGTGAGTGCATGCAGTTGGGGTCTCGGAGCATGAGGGGGAGAATGGAGGGGGAGGAGGGGTGGTGGAGGAGGGGGAGGGCGGAGGAGGAGGAGGAGGAGGAGGAGGAGGAGGAGCAGGAGGAGGAGGAGGGAGGAGGAGGAGGAGGAGGAGGAGGAGGAGGAGGAGGAGGAGAACGACATCCAGAGCCATTTTGGCTACAGTGATGTGGGCTCAATGGCCATCTTGGCTGGAGTTTGGCTCTCAGCGCGCTCCTCAGCATCCCGAAGAGGGACACGCAGTTCGCATGCGCCCCCCCCCCTCCCCACCCGTCGGGTAGTCTTCTGCGGTCCTTCCTGGCACGCCCCTTCATGCCCTGGCGGCCTCGCCTCAGCCCACCCCGAGGATCTTGTGGGATTCCCACCCCAACCTCCTCCTCCTCTTCCTCCTCCTCTTCCCCCTTCCTCCTCCTCCTCCCTCCTCCTCCTCCTCCTCCTCCTCCTCCTCCTCCTCCTCCTCCTCCTCCTCCTCCTCCTCCTCCCCCCGGCCCCGAGACCTCCCGCGAATCCTTTGGGCCTCCCGCCTCTCATGCCAGAGCATGGCACGGCAGCGACCAGCGAATACGGCAGGCCACGGCAGGCGGACCATGCCAAACGAAAGCGACTTGCCACATACATGCTGTTCCGCACCCGACGAGCTGGGACTGCCAGAGCCTGAGACAGTTCCGGGCCAGTCCGTCCCATCCCTCCCGCAGATACCCTTCTGGCCCAGCCCCGAGACTCCGCGCCCGTGAGTTCGAGGAGGAGGATGAGGAAGGGGGAGGGGCGAGCAGCAGGCAGGAGGGGAAGGGGTCAGCCAGTCCAGCGAAGGCCCATCATAGATCCACATCCTCTATCCCCTGTCGCCTTCTTCCCGTACCCGTTTTTCCTTGTAAGAACGAATCGGTCGCTCATCGGCAGCGCTTGCTCCTCCTCCCTAGTCGTGGGTGTCTCGTCTGCCCCGCTGCCCTCGAGGAAGACGGCTGCCCCGCCGCCGCCGCCCTCCGGGCAGGCGGCGGCGGTGGAGCTGCTGGACCTGGGCAGCGCCGGCGGCACGCTGCTGAACGGGACCCGCCTGGCCCGGGGCGGCTCGGCGCCGCTCCAGGCGGGCGACGTCGTGGCGCTCGCGTCGCCCGGGGGGCCGCGACTCCGGGTTCGCGGCCCGCGCGCCAGCGGCGAGGAGCCCTCGGCCCGTGGGGGTGGGAGTCGCGCTTGCGGGACGCCTTGCCATATGGTAAGGACCGTGAAGGAGACAGGATCCGCGGCGCCGGCTCGTGCAGGTCTGTCCATCTGCCCCGACACTGCTTTCCCGCTCGTCGGGTTGCCTCTGCGCTGTCCGGGTTCTTGGCTACGCAGTTTCGGGCGCAGGGCGCGCGGGGGCGGTGCGGCATGTTAAGCCACATCTGGATGCCATGTTTCAGGTGAGGGGTGAGAGCGAGTGGGGGGAGGGAGATGGGGGAGGAGAGGGAGGGAGTGAGAGGGGAGGAGGGGACTAGGATGTGGAAAAGCAATGGCGAGGGAGGTGGCCAGTAGAGGATGAACAAGACGGAGCATTGTCACACGAAGAAACGAAAGTCATTCATCATTCGAGATAGGGGCAAGAGGGGCATTTACTTACTGGGTGAGCTGAACTCTCCAACTTCCCCTTGAGTCGTTGGCAGCGTAATGGTGTCTAGAGTTATCATTGACGCTTCGCGTATCCCGTATCCACACCAGCCCGTCCAGACACGATCGCCAGACGATTTGCCCTGACCAATCAAGTGCAGCAGGATGCAATGTAACAGAGAAGTGAGCCAGTCGTCAAGCAGAAAGTTGGAATCGGCCTGAGCATTCTCAGGAGTGGAAGTGCTGATCCTGCCGTCGAAGGAGGATCAGGCGGAGGAGAAAGTGAAGGAGGTAGGGGGATCAGAAAGGAAGAGAATGAGGGAGGTGGTATGATGATTGGGAGGAGGCGGAGGATGGAGGCGGAACGGAGCAACGATGATTACATTCATGAGGGCGAGGAGGAGGAGGAGGAGGAGGAGGAGGAGTTGGAGGGGGACCACAACATGAGTCAACCATGAAGGCCTGCGCAGATGGTGTGCTACCTTGTGCCCTCTTGGGGACACGCTGGAAAGCACCGATCAAAGAAGGGGGGTGCTATTCGGCCTCGCCCCGTCAGGGCCCGAAGCATCCCCTTTAGGGGCGGTCTTGGGCGCTCCCCAGGCCGTCTTTGGCCTTTCCTGAGGGGCCCTCTCGGGCGATTTTGGGGCCACTTTGAGCCTCAGATGCCCATCGGAAGCGAGAAGACGAGAAAGCTACACTCATTGGAACAACCAAGGTCTTTATGTAATTTGGGTCCCTCGGAGCTCTCCCTAGGAGGCTCCATGGCCACTCGGAGCCGTCTTGGGGTGGTCTTGGGGCCTGCTGGAGGCATGTTGAAGATCGTCTTGAGCCATCTTAGTTGAGCCATCTTGGAGGCCACCTTAGGCCACTCGGAGCTATCTCAGAGCCATCCTGGGCCAGGCATGGGCCTCTCAGATCCAGAGAAGGGTTGGGAGAACCCTAGCCCGAATGGTAAGAAGGGAGGTTGGAAGAAGCGCCCGGAGGCCTGGTGGGATTATTCCACTGGGGCACAACAGCACCGCCGTCACAGAAGCGGGCACATCCTCGCGGATTGCGTTCGCCTCATCGGGACAGGAAGAAGAGAAGATGATGAGCCAGGAGGATCATGAATGAGGGGGGACGGGTAATGGCTGGATGAAAAGACCAGGCGGGCGGACATATGTAAGTAAGAAAAGAAAGGTTGGGAGGAGGAGAAGAAAGAGGAAGAGGAAGAGGAAGAGGAGGCACAGGAGGAGGCGCCAGGAGGCGATCGGAACATCGCATGGTGGTCTCCCGCCCCCCCATCCCTTTCCCTCCCGGCCCCCCCCTCTCGGCAGTCTGCCCGACCCGCCCGTTGAGGTCTACGCGCCCGATGTGCCCGTCTGGTCCTGCCACGTGTTTTCTGCTCCTGGCCCCCTTCCTGCTAAGCCCGTGCTCCATCCTCCCCTCTCCTTCCATCTGTCCTCGCTTCTCCTGTCTCAGGGGCTGCACCCATCCAGCGCGGCAGGCAAGGAAGGTATACCCCCAGGGGAGCAACGATCGAAGACCAAGAGGGCGGGTACCGAAGGCTTGGGACCCATCTGTGAAATTGCACGCGAGCAGGCAAGAGCGAACACCATTCTACTTATTATTGATGTTGGAGTCTCATTTTTAAGAGCTAGATAAGTGTAGATCCCCCACTTCCGGTAACCTTGGCACTTATCGATTAAAGGGCTCCTCCCAGGATTCGCACCTTGTTTTTTACAAGGTAAAGTGAGGGGGGCACCAAACTGCGCTGTTGGCCCCCAGGTCAAAACAACAGCAACAACAACTCTCATGTTAGTATTGTTCGCTCTTTTCTGCTCACGTGCCATCCAACACGTATATCCCAAGCCCTCGGTACCCGCCCTTGTTGTCTTCGATCGTGCACTCTTGGCGGTATACCTTCCTTACCTGCCACGTGCATTTGATGCAGCCCCTAAAACAGGGGAAGAGATGACCGGTGGCATGGGGAGGGAGAAGGATTTAGCACGAGATTTGTAGCAGGATGGGGGCAAGGAGTAAAAAACACGTGCTAGAACCAGGCGGGCAGGTCGGCTGGGCAGACCCATGGCAGGCAGGTCGAGGGCGCGTTGTCTGAGTAAATTGCGAGGAAGTCCCACGCCAGAGCGAGATTCCTACATACATTGTAAGGATGTCCCGCGCGAGAGCTCGATTCCTCAATACATTGCGAGGACGTATCAGGCGGGAGCTGCTGTTGTTGCAAACCGCGGACTTAATATGTCCCCAGAATAAAAGGCGCGAGCCCCCGGAAGAGCACTTTATTTGAAAAACGCAATGCCCCGGGTGGGATTAACAGTAACTCGTGTTCAGACATGAGGGCTCAACAACAACAACCACAACTACAGCAGCAACAACAACACCAACACCAACAACGACCACAACAACAGCAATCATGTTAAGACTGCTCGCCCCTATCTGCTCACGTGCCAACCAATGCGTGTATCCCAAGCCCTCGGTACCCGCCCTCGTCGTCTTCGATAGTACCCCCTTGGGGGTATATCGTCCTTACCTGCCACGCGCATTTAGTGCAGCCCCCCGAACAAAACAGGGGAAGAGAGGACCGGTGGAACGTGGAGGGAGAAGGATGGAACACGAGATAAATTAGCAGGAGGGGGGCAATGAGTAGAAGACAAGTGGTATAACCAGGCGGGCAGATCGGGCGGGCAGTCCCATAGCGGGCGCGTCGGGAAGGCATACCCAGGCGACCAGATCGAGCAGGTGGGTTGCTGAAGCGTGGGTCGGGCATGAATCGCGAGGAAGGCTCGGGCGGTAGCGCGATTCCCAAGACTAATTGTGATACATCCCAAAGCCAGAGCGTGATTCCTGAGCGCCGAGGGCGCATCGTCTGAGTAAATTGCGGGTAGAAGTGAGAACTCAACAACAACAACCACAACAACATCACCACCACCACCAACAACATCAACACACAAAACACCAACAGCAGCACCATCATCTACAACAACAGCAGCAACAACAACACCAACGACACCACCACCACCAACAACAACAACCACAACGGCTCCCGCCGGATACTTCATCACAGTACATTCCCACACCGCGCTGTCGCGAGGGACGCGGACAGTCTCATCTGCGCCCAGCTAAGGAGCAAGCGGGAGCGGGCGCTTCCGGCACGAAGCGCCCGCTGGTGGACGCGGGCGCCACGGGCGCCGCGGCACCGCGCCAGCCGCGGTGCGAAGGGCCTGCCGACGCGGTTGTGGCGCCGCAGGCGCGCCAGCGGGTACGGGGAACGGGGGGGAGGGCGGAGGGCTGGGGGCGACACCTCTTCGTCGTCGTCCTCCTCTCCCTCCTCCTCTTTCCCTCCTCCTCCTCCTCCTCCTCCTCCTCCTCCTCTCCTCCTCCTCCTCTCCTCACCCTCCTCCTCCTACTCCTCCTCCCTCCTCCTCCTCCTCCTCCTCCTCATCATCATCACAATCCTCCTCCTCCTCCTCCTCCTCCTCTCCTCACAATCCTCCTCCTCCGCCTCCTCCTCCTCCTCCTCCTCTCCTCCTCCCCCTCGTCCTTCTCCTCTTCCTTCTCCTGCTGCTCCTCCTCCTCTTCCTTCTACTGCTGCTCCTCCTCCACCGCCTTCTCCTCCTGCTCCTCGTCCTCCTCCTTTCTCCTCCTCCTCCTCCCCCTCCCTCCCCCTCCTCTTTCTCCTGCACCTCCTCCTTCTCCTCCTCCTCCTGCCCCTCCTCCTCCTCCTTTCCGTAGCCATTTTGGCTCAAGGTTTTGGTTTCCCCTGGGAACAAAGTGGATACCGCTAGTCCGCGGCCAGCTTTCGTCTTTCGCCTGGTTCGCCCCAGGCAGAGCGCCGTGCGGTCCGCCCCGCACGGCCCAGCCCCACCACGGCCCGCTTGTCTCGCCTCGCGTGGTTCCTCGTCGTGTGCGCAATCGACCCGCCTTGTCGCCCGTCGGCATGGCGCCCAGGTCACGCAGCACGGAGGCAGGCCCATGGTATTGCAAATGGTGCAAGCATGAGCCTACGGGTACGAGCTGGATCAACCGTGGTGATCAGAAGTGGTGTGGCAAGTGTGGCATCCCGAAAGGCTCCGCCTTCTACGGGGTGCCCCCGCCCAAGGTCCCAGTGCAGCGCTCTCATGAATTGGCCACGAAGCGTGAGAAGCTCCTCACCAAGCAGTTGGAAGAGTTGCAGCAGCGCATGCACAAGCTGGTTGGCAGTCACAATGGTACGGAGTCGGAGTCCAAGGAGCCCGCCATTCCTCCCTGGGCTAAAGGCACTGGAGTGGCGGTCAAGCGTGAGCGCCTCACCAAGCTTGGCAACTTGCTCAAGCTCCTGTCGGGGCCTGAGGACGCCGAGCAGCGTGCGGTGTATGAAGCCGAGAAGCAGCGCTTGCAGGCCGAGCTACAGGCCGACAAACCTATCGAGGCCAATCTGCAGGGGCTCACCAGTCAGCTCAAGACCGCTCGCACGAAGCTGTCCAGCATCGCTGTCAAAAAAGAGGCTGCTCGTGCGACGCTGGAGAAGGCCAAGCTGGCCCTGGCGCAGGTCGAGCAGGACGAACAAGTTGCTAACAAACATATCGTGGAGCTGGAGGAGAGGTTGCGCCATGTGGTTGGTCCCGCGGTGCAGTTCGATGACAAGTCACCATCTCTGTCCACCTTCTTGCCAGGCATGGAGACCACGGTCGAGCAGTTCGACGCCGTGGTCCGTGCGCTGGGCGGTTCGGAGCGGTTCAGCACAGACCTCATCGCCATGCGCGCGCTGGTGCAGAAGATCAAGGAAGCCCCAGAGGTTGCAGCCGCACCTGAACCGCCTCAGCACGAGACTCAGTCCACTCCTCCTGAGGCTCGAGAATCCATGGATATCGACGATGACGAAGATCAGGATCGTGCTAATGCTCACGTTGATGGCCTGGACGGTCGCACATGCCGTGAACATCTCAAAGAATGTGGCATCGACGTCGACGTGGGCGGGGAAGATGACGAGATTGACGACACTAAGGAGCGTGAGCTTCGTGACAAGCTCAAGCGTCATTTGGCCCAAGTTCACTCGCTTACCAAGAAGTTCAAGACCAGTGGTGCGACCGCTGCATAAGGCGATCGGGCGGCTTGCTGTGGTTTTGTTCTGTCTATGCTCTCTTTTTGTTGCAATGACGACGCCTACTGCCCAAGAGGAGCTGACTTCAGCCCCCAGGCGTTCTCTTATGGACGATCCTGACGTTGACCCCTTTCAATTTGATCAAGCAGCTGACAGTCAGCCTGACCTGCCTGATTCATGTGCTCAGGTTGCCCCTACTGCGTCCTCTGCAAGGGCAGCTACTGCGACTACGGGTGCTACGCCATCGTCTCGGTCGCTACACTCACCTGTCACTAGGGGGCAGGCAGAGAGCGCCACATGTGCGCCGATTGCGTTGACGAGCTCGGCCCCTTGCTCGACGAGGGTGGATGGCTCTACTGCTGGTCGTTCCGATGGCATGCATCCTTTAGACCCTGGCAGCACGCACTGCTCACCACGCTCGCCCGATGGGCATCGCGTGGCAGAGGGTACCGACTGCCCAGGGGTTCGTCGACCTGATGTCAAGGTTGCTGGCCAGGTGAAGGGCAAAAGCGACTCACATATTGTGACGCTCAACGCGAGTTCGTTGGGTCCACTGTGCGACTACCTGGTGGACAGCACTGCTCACGTGGTGCTGGCGCAAGAGCACCATGTCCCTGACACCAAGCTTGGTGAGCGTCAGTCGCAAGTTGAAGACACTGGCTGGAGAGGGCTCTGGGGCCCTGCTGTGCCTAACCAGGATGGAGGGCCTGGCACTACAGGTGGAGTTGCAGTATTGGTCAGGTCACACATTCCCATCAAGGCGCCTCCTGGCCGTGCTAGTCATGTTTCTTGTTCCTGGCAGGCTTGTGGCTGCGCACGTCATGTCCTTTCTGCCTGGAGGAGTTGTCTTTCTGTCGGCCTATCTCAAGGACGGCGAAGGGTACGGACCGTGCAACGCCGAGCTGGTGTGGGAGATCATCGAGTACCTGTCAGTGCTCAATGGCATGCAGATCCCGTGGATCATCGGCGCCGATTTCAACATGCCGCTCACCGCCCTGGACCAGTCCGACTGGATAGCGGCGGCTGGAGGACTGGCTTTCGTTTCTGAGGCGCCCACTTGCAGGCAGGTTTCACCTGGCACGCACCTTGATTATTTCATTTGCAGCAGCTGGCTGGCGCCAAAGCTCAACCCCCGCACGTGCGTGTTGGAGGCTGCCACCACCTACCCTCACCTCCCCGTCCAGCTTACGTTGAGGGCTCGGGAGACGCCTGTTTGGGCTCGGGTGGCCAAGGTCCCGAAAGCTTTCCCGTCGACCCCTCCCATTGGCTGTGCTAGACCTCCTATATACCCGTGGCACGCGGTTTTGACGACCGCTGCCCCGCAAGTGGACTCTGTAGCCAAAGTTGCTGATTTTTGGGATCTCGTCCTCGAAGGGGTGGAAAGAGAGCTGGCCGCCAGGTGGGACCGTGTTGGCGTTGCCGCCGAGGCCTACGTGGGCCGCAGTGGGCCTCTTGAGGTCCATTTCAAAAAGCTCGTCTGGACTCCCCCCAGAAGGAGGACTTATAAGGATCCGCAGGCACGTGCCTGGGCCGTCGCTCTTGGGTGGGCCAAACACCTTGGCAAGGCCAGAGAACATCTCAGTGAGCAAATTAGGCTGTTGCAAGAAAACGATGCTCCGTGTTCAACTGCGCCTCGCCAATGTCGCAAGCTCTTTTCGGCTTTTGATGAGTTCGATCGGTTCATGGCCAACATCGCCCGCTGTAAAAAAGTTCTTGGTTGCCTAGACTCTGAGGTGCGTGATTTCTTCAATGGCGGCTTCGCCGTCCTTGCACGTCCCGATGTGGCCAGAATGCTTACTACTATCTACATTCGGGCGAAGGCTGCAATCGCTCGTGCGGAGAACGCGGCGTCCCAGGCTTGGAGGCAATGGGCTAGGGACGCTTTCTCTGCTGGCGCTTCGAAGGCTCACAGGTTCTCAAAGGTGAAGGCCATCCAAGAGGTTTTAAGCAACCAGGCGCGTGAGGCTCCCCACCAGCAGGCCGATGCGGAACTCGTTCCCTGGAAGGAGGTTTGGTTGTCCCACGGTTGTTCCGTTCTCGAGGTTCCGCGTGGGTCCACCAGCTGGCCCAGTCTGCCGCGCATCACGGCCGCTCAGGTGGAGGATGCTGTTCACACTTACCCCACTCGCACTGCTGGAGGCATGATGGGTATTCATCCGAGAGCTTTAATACACCTGCCTAGACAGGCTTTCTCGGCGATTGCAGAACTCTTTAACTTGTGCGAGTTGCACCTAGCCTGGCCTAGAGAGCGTGTCTGTAATGAGATGTGTCGTCTTGCCAAACCAGATGGTGGGACTCGACTGATCGCGCTCGTCTCTTTGCTGTGCCGTGTCTGGGGCAAAGTTCGCAAGCCCATCACCTTTGACTGGCAAGAGCGTAATGACTGCCACGCTGTTTGGGGGACTCGTCGGGGTCACAGCTCCTCAGACAGTGCTTTTGCTCACAACATTGCTGCCGAGATGGCGGCGCTAGTCGGTGATATTTCCATTTCTGTCCTCTTAGATATGATCAAATGCTTCGAGATGGTACACTCGGAGCAGCTGCTGAAAGAAGCTGAAGCGTTGCACTTTCCAATGCGGCTAGCTTGGATGTTGGTGGATCTGTACAGGCAGCCACGACGTCTTCGAGCTTTCGGCAGTCTGTCTGTGCAGTTCTGCTCGCATCAAGGCATCCTTGCTGGGTGCAATCATGCGACAGGCATGCTTTTCCTCCTCACGCTGCGCGCGGTGCGCAGGCTCAATGACATTTCGCCCTGTATAACACCGAGAGCCCTAGTCGACGACATCTCGATTCAGCTCGTTACTTCGGATCCTCGGGACGTGCGTTTCCTGGAGCGTGCTGTGAAAGTGTTCACTGAAGATGCCAAGGTCCTCGGGCTCCACTCCCATGTCAAGAAGTCGGGGCTCATTGCTGGGAACAAAGTGGATCGGAAGGTGTTTTCGAAGATGGCGATTCGGCTGCATCTACCTGTTCGTAAATGGATGAGAAATCTCGGGCATGAATTAGCTGCTGGTCGGGTTGTTCGCACGCAGGAGAAGAAAAGGTTGCAGGCTCTCAAACGTCGTCGTGACAAGTTCGTTGCGCTGAAACATGCAACTGGCAAGCGTGCAACCCGACTGTGGAGGACTGGAGCTCTCCCAGCAGCTGGACACGGTGGCTCCGTGTCG